CCCTCCCTCCCATCAAACCATCTCCCTCCCTCCCATCAAATCATCTCCCCCCCATCAATCATCTCCCCCCCTCCCATTAAATCATCTCCCCCCCATCATCATCTCCCCCCCTCCCTCCCATCAAATCATCTCTCCCCTCCCATCAATCATCTCCCCCTCCCATCCAATCATCTCCTCCATCAGTCATCTCTCCCCCCCTCCCATCAGTCATCTCCCCCTCCCATCAATCATCTCCCCTCCATCAATCATCTCCCCCACTCCATCTCCCCATCATCCCTCCCATCAGTGATCATCTCCCCCCTCCCATCATCTCCCCCTCTCCATCAATCATCTCTCCCCTCCATCTCCCTCCCATCAATCATCTCCCCTCCCATCTCCCCCTCCCATCGATTCATCCCCCATCGCTGATCTCCCCCCTCCCATCATCATCCCCCCCCTCCCAGCAGCTTCTCCTCACCTCAACCCCACTGCCCTGTAGCGTGGTCGAGCTCCTATCCGGTCCGCGACCCGGCGGACTGACAGGAAGTGCACACTCAGTGTGCACTTCCTTTCAGTCCCGCCGGGTCGCGGGACCGGAAAGGAGCTCGGCCACGCTACAGCAGGGCAGGGGAGGTGAGGCACTGCGGCAGCCGCCTGAGCGCTCTCCATAGAGCGCTCAGGCAGCTGCAAAATTTAAAGGGCCGGCGATGGGGGCGCAGGGCGCCCCCTCCTATATGGCGCCCTAGGCGGCTGCCTAGTTCGCCTTATAGGAAGCGCCGGCCCTGATCACGCATTGCCTTCACAGAACTTGACACCAAGACAGATCCAGGGGGGGAGGATGTTGTTTGTCAAGGGGAAGGGGAACAATGACCAGCTTGTTACCCTGGAGAATGTATATGCTCCGAATTCGGGTCAAGTTGCCTTTGCCCTCTCGTGACTGAGGAAATTGGAGGGGTTTGCGGAGGGTATTCTTGGTCCCTTGGTATCTCAGTAAGTGCTAAATAAGGCATCTAGACATCACAGGAGACGGCAATGTGAGTAGAGCCCCAACGCGCGTTTCGCAGGACTGCGGCTCATCAGGGAGAACTGATGGTGTAACTAGTTTTAAATAGCCCATCCCTGGTCCTGATTGGATCAGGCATAGGTATGTTTATTCAAGGGGTACAGTGGCTCCAGAGGGTCCTAAAGGAAATGGCTAAATCGTGCTTACAAAGGGAAAAGAACAGGGGGAAGTTAATGATTTGTTTCTTTAATGTCTAAAAATAGTGGAGCATTACTTCAGCATCCACAAAAATAAATTATTATAATGTTAATTATATAATAGTGTTCCCTATAATCTGTTGTTCAATGCTTAATACTGAAATAGGGAAAGAGGTGAACTAATATATTTATATTGAGGTTAGCAGTGACCTCAGGAGAGTATCACAAATTATGATGACAAGATAGTAATAATCATGTCTCTAATTCTGATGGTTGTTAATATGTGATATCCTGGATTGCGGTTCACCAGTATCCCAATTGCAATGTTTAAAAGGGTATGCCCTTTGCACATTAATGTAGTACAGAAATGCCTAAGGTCTGCATATTAAGAGGAGTCATACCCTCACAGTTTGCGAGAAAAGGGGAAAGGGGGAACAGGGCTACAGGTAGTAAGTAAGAGGTTTAAGAGTAGTGTCAATACTGTCAATGTAATTTCAAAAAGGAAAGAATATATGTTGAAATATGAATAATAACTGAATAAAGTGCCTTTCACGATGTATAAATGACGTGTAATTGTATTCTTCATTTAGTCCCAAAGGGGCCAAAGTT